AAAAAACAAAAACTAGTGGATTATTTCAGTAGTGTCTGAAACAATATACAACTTGTCTAATTACTCTAAGAGTGAAGTTATGTATCCCTAGAACAGTAGTAAAAATTAACGTTTGTGTTATAGACACAGAGGATTAGAGCTGACTTTCCTTTTTAAAATTTATCTTCCATTTTACAGTGCAATAACTGACGTAAAATAAGATTTGCTCATGGTCTACAGAAGTGAGCTGGAGGGTAAAAGCTCGTGGGATGCATGAACATACTGTCTTCTGATTCTTTAAATTCCCAGTATTTACTGAGGACTTAGAATGTGAATTGAGCACACAATTTCGGTGAAAACTCTCTCTGGGTGATAGTTCACATAAGCTATTATTTGAATTCTTGTGATAAGCCTTTCTTTAGTAAGTCGTATTCATGTGAGACCCACCAAAAAGAAAATCTGTGGTCCACCTGTCTTGCTGTCTTGCAATTTTATTCAAGATATCCTTCATCTCTTTCTTCTCATTTACTATCAGAATTAGATAGCAGGGCATGTTTGGCAGATACTGCAAAAAGAACTCTGCAAAAACCTGAAATACAACTGGTTTCTGCTCTATTTTAATAAGATAATCACTTGATAAGAAAGACTGGAATGAATGACCTCATTATACATTTTAGCATAGGGAAATTACATAATTTTAATAACTAATTGTAAAATATGAAGGGGAAATTTAACTATACATTTGACTAGTCAGATACATGAGGTGCATATGAAGACTGTCTCTGAGATAACTAGAAGTCCCTGAGATATCTGACAGAAGTGCAGTCTGGGAAGGCACTCAATTGCCATTTGCACCTCATTAGCAAATCGGAATCTTCAAGAAATGAGTAATTGTTCTCTATGTGGGCTACACTGGTTTAATGTTCAAGTTTCCAGTTAACTTTCTATGCTGATTAACAGTGAACATTCCTGCTATGTTCTCCAAGACACAAATATAGGTGGTGTGCTCTTTAATGGACCTGATTACATTTGAACATTCTGAGCAGGTACTCTCTGGTCATGCTTACATGGTATTATTTTCCTACAATGTACATTCTTTCCATGATTTACATCTGCTTCCTTTAAGATAACAGACCATATCAGAAACTTACTATCTTTTCCTACTTAAAACACTAGAGTTGCTAAAACTAAAACATTCACTTATCATATTTTCAGGAATCTGTGTCAAAAGCTACTGAAAATTTATCTGTATCTCAAATAGTACATTTAAATGCTACTGTTGGGTAGATATAATAAAAATTCTAAATACTACACTGCAGGATTATTTGATAATGGCCTTCCACCAGGACGGTAGCTGGATAATGAAGGAGTTGGGTGCTGGTCCAAAGGCAGATCAGTGGTTTTATGAAATACCATGAGATGTGTTCACCCAGGTATCCAGTTCCATCTGAGCACCTGTCCCTTTTCAGCCTCCTCTTTCATTCCCATCAACAACTATGTGGTCTTTGGTCTTTTCTTTTCTTTT